CCCCCAAGCCTAGGCCCCTCCCCCTCACACCCTCTCGAGCTGGTTGACACCACATCCCTCAGCCTCACTCCTGCAGGAAGCCCTCCCTGATTACCCCCAGCTCCACCCAAACCGTGCCCTGGACTCCCCGGTCCGGGTCCTGCTTTGCTTCCCAACCCAGGTGCCGAGGAGGGTGCGGGGCACTCGGTGCCCATGGGTCTGAGCACCCCCTGTGTCTCCGCCACAATCCTCGGAGGTGGGTGCCACAGCCACCCCGAGGCACAGAGGAGGAGACTGAGGCTCACAGGGGACAATCACTTGCCCACGGTGACCCAGCGGGTTGGTGGCAGCGCCAGGACCGAACTCCAGGCGGTCTGGGTCTGGAGGCCACGCCCTTGACCACTGTCTGCCTTGTCCCCAGCGTTGACCGAGGCCGGGCCCTTTACCCACAGTGCCTCGTGATTGGCCCCTGAACAGATGGGGAAACTGAGGCTCGGCGGTGAAGCGGCCCGCCTGGGTTCCCGCTGTGTGTGGCTGGCAGGCCCAGGTCTGGCTGACGCCCCGAGGCCCTGACCCCGTGTTCTGTGCCGCGCGCAGGGGCCAGCGGGATGGGCAGGTACCACGGCAAGTTCTCCTTCGACACCTTCTCGCACCACCGCGCCTGCCTGGTGTGCAGCCCCTGCCTGGAGAAGGTCAACGCCATCCGCTACCCACCCTACCCAGACAGTAAGAAGAAGCTGATGCACTGGGCCATGGGCTCCCATGGCTGCACCCTCCTGTGAGCGCCCACCCAGCACCCAGGGAAACTGAGGCCAGTGTGAGGTGGGCTCTGCGTCTCCCTGTTTCTTCACATCGTCCCCCCAGGCCTCGGGTCCGTGGGGCAGAGTCACGCGGCTGTGTCCTAGCTGCCAGGGGCCAGGAAAGCAAGTTCTCGCTCCTATCCTGGTGAGGCTGCTTAAGAGAGGCCAAGGGGCCACAAGACGTGACACATGTCCCCATTTACCCCACCCTACCCAGGCCCAGCCCTTTGCTCTCTCTGGGGTCACCAGATACTGAGCAGAGACCATGTCTGGCCTTTTTTTTTTTTTGAGTTGGGTTCTCCCTCTGTGGCCCAGCGGTGTGGTCACGGCTCACCACAGCCTCCAACTCCTGGGCTCAGGCAATCCTCCCACCTCAGCCTCCTGAGTTGCTGGGATTATAGGCGTACACCACCATGCTTGGCTAATTTTTAACTTTTTTGTAGAGACGGGGTCTTGCTACACAGTCCAGGATGGTGTCCTGCCTTTTCTGACCCAGTGACACTAAACTGTTCAGACCCCTTCCAGGTCCTGGTCCATACCACCTTTTCCTCCAGACAGGCACTCACAGCCACAGCCCCCTCCCAACTCCACAGGCAATGCCATTCCCAGGACTCAGCTCACCTCTGCACCCCCCAGTCCACACGGCACCCTGCAATCACCTGCTGCAACCCCATCCATCCGAAAAGCTTGGGTTTGCACCCCTCCACGGCTCCAGCCTTCCTGGGTGCCCGCAGGCAAGACCCTCAACCGCCCTGAGCTTCGGTTTCCTTATGTGAATGTTGCCGGGACCAAAATGGAGACACTTATGTCAAACTGTAAGAAAACGGAGTCGGAGGAGGCCACGAAGAAGCCCTCATGCACACATGCGTGTAACGGGGCTTCGCACCAGACACTCCTGCATGCAGTCCTTCTCAAGATTGCGGGATCCCAAATACGCCGCTTGCACAAAGATGCTTACCTCACACGGCTGTGTCTACCAAAAAACAGCCGCCAGCTCCTGCGATGAGCCTGTGATCTGTGAACCTTGTTTCAAAGCAGCTTACGTGAATTTCTCTTTGCCTTTAAAAGCTTCCCCTCTGCTGGGCACAGTGGCTCACGTCTGTAATCCCAGCATTTTGGGAGGCCGAGGCGGGAGGGTTGCTTGAGACCAAGAGTTCAAGACCAGCCTGGGTGATGTAGTGAGACCTCGTCTCTACAAAAAAATCAGAAAATTAGCCGGGCATAGTGGCACGCACCTATAATTCGGGCTACCCGGGAGGCTGAGGCAGGAGGATTGCCTGAGCCCAGGAGGTTGAGGCTGTGGTGGGTCATGATTGTGCCACTGCACTCCAGCCTGGGCAACAGAGCAAGACTCTGTCTCAAAAAAGAAAAAACACAGCTGGGCTCGGTGGCTCAGCCTGTAATCCCGCGCCTTTGGGAGGCTGAGGTGAGTAGATTGCCTGAGCCCACGGGTTCGAGACTCGCCTGGGCAGCGAGACCTCATCTCTACAATAAATCAAAAAATCAGCCGGGTGTGGTGGCGCGTGCCTGTAATTCCGGCTACCCGGGAGGCTGAGGCGGAAGGATCGCCGGAGCCCAGCAGGTCGAGGCTGCGGTGGCCGGGAGCGGCCACTGCACTCCAGTCTGGGCGACAGAGTGAGACTCCAACTCAAAAAAAAAAAACAAAAAGAAAAATCACTGTAGTTCTGGCTCCTTGGGAGGCTGAGGCAGAAGGATCGCCTGAGCCTAGCAGGTCGAGGCTGCGGTGGCCGTGAGCGTGCCACTGCCCTCCAGCTGGGGCAACAGAGTGAGACTCCAACTCGAAAAAAAAAAAAAAAGAAAAAGAAAAAATAAACTTTCTCTCTGTCTCCCCCGAGATATGCCTGTGGTCTGTCCCGGCACACACATCCCAGATTGCAATTCTCTGCTCTTTTCAAATAAACTCAAGTGTTTGAGAAAGACTGTCTCTCTGAGTTTCTTTTGGGATTAATGCTTATCTTGTAGCATGGGGTTCCCCCGTCTCTTCGAGCTGATGTGAGGATGCAGTGGCTTCACGTGTGTCTAGGGCCCAGGGTCCCCACTCTGGGATGCCACCAAGCCAGCCCTCGGCACAGAGGCCCTGCCCCCACACCTCCTAGAGCTTCCTGGGGCCACGTGACAGCCTTGAGGTGGGTGACAACAGCCTCTCCATTTCTGGTAGCCGCGGTGTGCTGCTGCCGGGAAACTTGGAGGCAGTCAAAGTCCCAGTGGGGTCGGGGGTCAGACTCAGTCATGGATGCTGGTTTCCCTGTAGTCAACGGCCAGTCCAGAGTAGGAAAATGTCAACATGGGTGAGTCTTCTTCCTCCTGGCAACCTAGGAGGCCAGTAGGGGGAGATGGCAGGGGTCCTGGAGTGGGGGACAGAGGGACAGGCCGGGAGGAACGTGCCAGAGAGGCCGATGGTGGAAACAGACCCCACGCCCAGCATGTGACCGGACGGTGGGGGGCTGGGTCTGGCAGTGGGCAGGGCATTGGCAGGGGCATCTGTGTGGTGACCTGGTCACTGCACCCACCATGGAGATGGCACGGCTACAATGAAGACCAAGCCCTCTGGGCCAGGTGCGGTGGCTCACATCCTGTCATCCCGGCATTTCGGGAGGCTGAGGCGGGAGGATTGCTTGAGCCCGGGAGTTCGAGACCAGCCTAGGCAACATGGCAGGACCTCATCTCTACAAAAAAAAAAAATTTTTTTTTTTTTTGAGTTGGAGTCTCACTCTGTCGCCCAGACTGGAGTGCAGTGGCCGCTCCCGGCCACCGCAGCCTCGACCTGCTGGGCTCCGGCGATCCTTCCACCTCAGT